TATAAAAATTTTTTTTATATTTTTTATTTTATAATAAGATATTCCATTTTTGCGTTGACCTTTCATTACAATATGAGACTGTTGATCTCTATTGAAACAATTAATAACCGATATACAACTATAGGCAAAGTTCGCGTCTCACTTTTTACCTGTCACTTACAGCATGGTAGCACGCAATGCTTGTAAGTAGGAAAGAATGACTTCAATGCGAATCGCTGTGTATCTGAGAGGCGCACGAGTAGCAGCACTTTCTTCGATGGCATTATTGTTCTTCGGTGTCTCGGCGCGAGGAGGTGCGAGCGATTTTACGTACGTTATCACAAGCACTAGCTGATTTATCTGCTGTCATCGAGAAACGAAATCAATTTAAATATTCCACGAAGTAAGTGTATGATTTTTTATAAAAACTAAAATAAAATATATAGATTTAATATATGTACATATATCGCGAAAGTATACGCGTTAATTATACTAATCAGAGCGATAAAAAATATGCGAAAGAAAGAAATAAATTTGGACAATGAAATTTGAATATTCTTTTATTAATTTAAATAATGCACATCGCGTAATACATATATAACATGTATAATACTTTCCATGTTTAGCGAAACTTTTCCTGTACTCTCTTCTCTCATCGGCTCTCGATTATCTGGAACTTGATTATTCTCTTCTCTTTCGTTCTAAAGCAACGATCATCGGTTATTTCTTGATAAAAATTATGACACTTATTTATTTAAAGTAGTCAGCATTGATTGAAACGAGAAAAGAATATTTAAAGATGCCTGTTGTTGCATAGTTTCTCTCTCAACTTCTAATTCTTATAGGAAAAATATTTGAATGTTTGGTCAAGATATATATATATATATATACATCATTATCAATATAATTTTGTATTCAAATCTTTATGTATATATAAATTCTCCTTTAATGCGTATAATCAATAATAGAATGAGAGAGGAACTAAGAAAGAGAAAAAGTTCGCTGAGTGAATGTAAAATCAATCACTAGGTAAAGATCGTATCTGTTGAACGCGATGATTGATGAAGCGCGAGAGTGCAGCGGAATGAAATTTAGAACCCGCATTAGCATACAATTGTGAACAATGTAATTTCGCCATAGAAATATCATAAGATCTCGTGTAACTTGTAATTCTTCTGTATAAGTTGTAAAAAGTGTGAGTACAATGCTTTTTGTGTGTATGAGTTATTGCGATGGTACAACTCATTAACCAATTAGAAATTAGAGGAAACATTAAATATTTTTAATTTAACGTTTAATATTTTTACGTTATATGTTGAACTTCCAATAGATTTTTATTTTGTGTAGCTTAATTGTATGTGAATTTTATTAATTGAAACATTATATAATATATATATGTTCTCTTTATTATATAAATTAAAAATATTTTTATTAATTAAAACTTTTCTTTTTTTTTAAAGATTTATTTTTGATCTTTTTTTTT